ACCAAGGACTGGGCCGAGCTCTCCAGCCGTCTGAGCGAGGACGAGCTCAAGTACCAGTCGGCTCGCTGCATGGACTGTGGTGTTCCCTTCTGCCAGTCCGAGACAGGCTGCCCCATCTCCAACATCATTCCCAAGTGGAACGAGCTGGTGTTCAACGTAAGTCTTTGCCTTGCCAGTCCACGAGAAACCACAACTAACTTTTCGATTAGAACCAATGGCAGGATGCTCTCAACAGGCTGCTCATGACCAACAACTTCCCCGAGTTCACTGGTCGTGTGTGCCCCGCCCCCTGCGAGGGTGCCTGTGTTCTCGGCATCAACGAGGACCCCGTCGGCATCAAGTCGATCGAGTGCGCCATCATCGACCGCGGTTTCGAGATGGGCTGGATGATTCCCCGTCCTCCTCAGGTCCGCACCGGCAAGACCATCGCCGTCATCGGCTCCGGTCCTGCCGGCCTGGCCGCCGCCGATCAGCTCAACAAGGCCGGTCACCTAGTCACCGTGTACGAGCGTGCCGACCGCCCCGGTGGTCTGCTCATGTACGGTATCCCCAACATGAAGCTCGACAAGCGCATCGTCAAGCGCAGGACCGACTTCATGGCGGCCGAGGGCATCCAGTTCAAGTGCGGCGTCGCCGTCGGCGAGGAGGGCCACCCGACTCTTGCCGACCTTCGTGCCGAGAACAGCGCTGTCATCATCGCCACCGGTGCCACGGTCGCGCGTGACCTGCCCATCAAGAACCGCGAGCTCGAGGGCATCCACTTCGCCATGGAGTTCCTCCACAAGAACACCAAGTCTCTCCTCGACTCCGAGCTCCAGGATGGCTCGTACATCTCCGCCAAGGGCAAAGACGTCATCGTCATTGGTGGTGGTGACACTGGCAACGACTGCATCGGTACCTCTGTCCGTCACGGCGCCAAGTCGGTCGTCAACTTTGAGCTGCTGCCCCAGCCTCCCCCCAAGCGTGGCAACGACAACCCCTGGCCTCAGTGGCCTCGCATCTACCGTGTTGACTACGGCCACACGGAGGTTGCCGAGCACACTGGCAAGGACCCGCGCGAGTACTGCATCATGTCGGAGGAGTTCGTCGATGATGGCTCGGGCAAGGTCAAGGGCATCAACACCATCCGCGTCGAGTGGACTCGCTCGGCCACTGGCGGCTGGGACATGAAGAAGAACGAGGAGACCCGCCAGTTCTTCCCCGCCGACCTGGTGCTGCTGTCCATGGGCTTCCTTGGCCCCGAGGCGCGCGTGCTCGGCGACGACGTTGAGAAGGACGCCCGCAAGAACGTCAAGACGGCGCCCGGCAAGTACAGCACCAACCTCGATGGCGTCTTCGCCGCCGGTGACTGCCGCCGCGGACAGTCGCTCATCGTCTGGGGCATCAACGAGGGTCGCCAGGCGGCCCGCGAGGTCGACCTGTGGCTCGAGAAGTACACGAGCCTCCCCGTCACGGGCGGTATCGTCAAGCACACGCCCGAGGAGATCTTCAGCGCCCAGGCGACCCAGGTGCAGTCCGTCCAGGCGTGAAGGAGGACATTTGTGTTTTGATTTCGGGTGTAATCGGAGGACGAGGATCTTGTTCTACCAATGATACCACGGAGAAGGGGTTCCTGGCTTTCGCGAGCTACGATTTTTTTTCCTTTTATTCCCAGAGATGTCCGGTGCGAGTTTGGATTTGGGGCGTGGATCGAATTCGGCATGATCATGAGGGACATGTGTTATGATTTGGGATCGGTAGTTTATCCAGATTGGGGCGATAGATATCCAATACTGTTGTTCGAAAAGGAGGTGTTTCATTCCGTGTGATATATGATGCGAGGAAGGGCAAACGACGTCTTGGACCTGGGCGAAGTCCGGGTCAACGATGTCGTCGGAAGCTCTGGCTATTGAGCTAAACGGGCGATGATTCGGTGGTATGACCTTTGCAACGTGGGAATACATCGCGGTGTGGCAAAGAGAACCAGAGTGGTGGCCTGGTGGGTAGGGGGCGCTTGAGCGTTCAGCAGGCTGTGTTGTCGACCGGCGAGGATTCGTCCATCTCTTCAGGGTGGGCAAGGATAGTTTTTCTCTCTTCAAACAGGCTAATCCTTTAGCGGATGACGGATAGTTCAGCGTTTCCGCTGATCGTGGTCTTCTCTTTCTGGTTCTTGCGATTGCAGAGTCAGGATCATAGTGCTGTCACAAGACCTGTTGATTCGCAAGACCTGCTGGTTCGCAAGACCCGTTGATTCCCTAGACCCGTTGATTCCCTAGACCCGTTGATTCCCTAGACCCGTTGATTCCCTAGACCCGTTGATTCCCTAGACCCGTTGATTCCCTAGACCCGTTGATTCCCGAGGCCTGTTGCCCCGTTGGACTTGTACTTTCGACTACCTACACCAATCTTTGTAGACGGGGTGATATCAGACGATTAGCCTCACGCCTTCATCTCCGCCGGCCCGAGAAGTGCTCCAGGTTTCCATTCAATAGTGTGTGTAGTGGCAGCCAGCTGAAAACGAAATCATGTGCGGCGTGGCTTTGCGTTGGCGACATCGGCAGATATGAAAGTAGACTCGAGTTAGAAGGCCGCAGAATGCATAGGTCTACTTACGGGGGTCTCATCTCAAACACAAAAGCTGTCGTTCTCTGGGAAGCGCCAGGGCAGTCATGGATCCGGCGGGCGAAGGGACGATTGTGGCGATTATGGTGGTAGTTCTCCGGCCAGACAGGGAATCACCGCGGGACTTTCGATGCGGTAGATAGGTTGATTGACACGCCGTCTTACGATCTTCATTCCGTGGGAAGGGCTGAATACATTCATGTTGGCATTCAGTCTTGTGTTTTGATGGCTACCCTCGGAGAACAAGGACCCCTTACCTGGTCTAGCTGAAATCAATCATATGCTTTGGGTTGCTTTAACAGATTTAATATTTCAAAGACGTCATGGTCGCCGTGTCACTAGGCAGGCGTTCGTCCATCCCAAGCCATTCTATCTCATGTTCTGAATGGCTTCACCACCAGGTCCATATCTGGTTCGGTTTGCCACGCTCCTATATATTTCCACGTTGCAATAGCCAAACCATCCAAACAACCCACTTTGATTGTACAAACATCATAGGGGAATGGAGTATAAAGGGAGCAAAGAGTTCTTGAGGGAAAAGGCTCAGGTTCTCCTGGCCGGCCTGCCCAGCCCGTGCGAAATCCACACATACCTAGCTTTAAGTCATCTCAAATCATCCACGTCTGACGTCCGAAAATCTTAATTATTGAAAATGCCGGGCATACCACACCTTCCACGTTGTAAATCTGCCACCCTTTGTGCAGGTGTGTGTATCAAATCTCCTCTTAGGTGAGGCAGCAAGTAGTGTCTACCTTCCTCAGCCAGCCTTCCTCAGCAATCCTTATCCTCTTGCCTTCCTTCGCAAACCGGGCCCTGCTGCTGTTACCAGGTAGTTGCCCTTTGCCGGGCTGGCTTCTCACTGGCAAGGCGCCCGCCTAGGGACCTTACCTTGTTCTTTTCCTCCCAGATATTCCACCCTCAACTCTTCCTTTTCTTCGCCACCACGCCGCGACCCCAAGCCCCCATCTCCTCGACGCCTCCCGATCACGGCAAGCCCATCTACACCGGGCCCGCCCTCACTCCGGGTAGCGTTGTCACGATGGCGCGCCGACAATCTAGCCAGAACTCTGCGCAGGGTAGTGGCCGTCGCCATGGCGGAGCTATTCGTTACAACAGGTCGAACGCCGGCAGAAACGTCCGACTTATCCGTCCCCATCTCTCACGGGTAGATCCTCTCGCATCGGGTGTCTCTCCAGTGGCCTCGATGAACTCTGGCGTATCGCACGCGCGTCGCTCGCTTCTCGACAGCAATATCACTACGGCCCGGCGTGGCGTATCGCACCCGCGTCGCTCGATTCTCGACAGCGGTATCACTACGGCCCGGCGTGGCGTATCGCACGCAAATCGCTCGGTTTTCGACGGCTGTCAGACGGTCCGGCGTATCGCACCGCACGCGCATCGCTCGGTCTTCGACAGCCATGCCACTGAGGCCCGTTACCGAGCAGCAGCTCCGTCCCCTAGCACTCCCGAGGTTGGACTCGGTAGTCCTCGACCACGGGCCCGCCGAGAAACCGCTATCCCGGCCCCCGCCACTCCCTCTGGACGGCTATCCCGGCCCCCGCCACTCCCCCGGCGCGCCCCGAACTCCCATCCCGGCCCCCGTCATTCCCCCGGGAGGATTTGGAAGATCTCGCCAACAGGACCGTCAGGAAACCGCTATCCCGGGCCCCGTCATTCCCTCGGGAAGATCTGGAAGACGCTCAGGCGTCTGAGCCTACCAAGGCCCGTCGCCGCAGCAGCGCCCCTCCCTTCAGACCCCGCCTCCGTTTGTTGCACCGCCCGACGCGGATGAGGACGAGCTGCAAAGGCTCCGGGACTACAACGACACGCCTTGTGTCCGCTGTATTCGCGTGAGCCTGAACCACTTCAAGACCGGCCGTACCGATGAGCCCTTCTTATTCTGCCAGTCGCCAGGGGTGGGCCTCACCAAGTGCGAGAAGTGTACTCGTGACAACATGTTCTGGAAACCAGTAAGTCTCCTCCCTGGCGTTTCGCTGTCCTTCCCGCTAACTCCACGTTGTAGATTCCTGCGGGTATTATGGGTGGATTACCTGGATACTCTAAAATTCATCAGTCCCTCCGTGCTTTCACGGACGAGGATCATGAGTTTCATGCCTTGGCCCCCAAGTTTGCGCCCATCGTGGTTGAACTCCAAGAGTCTCTGGTTTAGTCCCCCGCCCGGTCGGCAAAATTATATACCTCCTCGGCCAACAAAGCCCGCTTCTTTGTAAGACTATAGTGGCGTGACATGTCTGATTCAGCCGCCTGATAGTCTGTGCTGTGAAGACTTCCCATGCTTTAATCATAGGAAAAAATCCAATATTAAATGTTTTATCCCATAGGAGACTTCCAGAGCGCGGTTAATACACGCCGATACGTCAGGAGAACCGTATCCAATGGCCTTTCTAGCTCAATTGGTTAGAGCTTCCGACTTTTAACCCAAAAGGGAAATAAATCGGAGGGTTGTGGGTTCGAGTCCCACGGGAGGCGATCCCAGTGTCGTGAAGCGACAGGTGATCATTTTTTGCCGATTTTTTCCATGGTCACGGGCCCGAGCGGGCTCTAGTTGCTCCAGTGTATGGTACAGACTCGATTAGATAAGATATCATAGTCATGGAAGGGTTAATGACAGTATAAGTGTGTCCAACATGGCAGACTTCCCTGTCGCGTCTGTACAGTGCTTGTGAGGCTCCCGCTATATTCGGAGAAGCGGGGGCCTAGCACTAGTCGCTCCATGCAGCGCAGATTCACAGTGTTACTAATCCCATCACGCACGGAGCTGGTTATGCCCCAGCAACTTTCAACAGCTTCCTGTTGCGTCACTCACGACAACCAGCAGACAGACATTGACACCATACCTCTACCTAGGTAATCATCGACAGCCTTCTCTGGCGCACGCGAACCTTCGAGATCCGAGGAGCTCCTGGCAGCGAGACATAGGCTACGTGCATTCTCTTCTGCCGCCCGACAGAGCCGCCACCCGCCACCCGCGGCGCGACTGCCCCGAAGCACGACTACAAGTCCGACTCCGACTCCGACTCCGATTCCTACCACATCCACGACATCGCACGCCTTGCTCCGACCGACACATACCATGGCGCGCGACTCTGGCGCCCCCCTGCTGGCGTACATTCGTAATGCGAAGACTCATTCCGAGCAGGCGGCTGCTCTGCGCTCCCTCAAGAACGACATTGTAGGCCACGCGCAGAGGAAGGAGGCATGGCTGGTGCAGGGCGCCCTGGAGCCTGTCGTGGCCCTGGCACGGTCGTCGTCCAAGACCACCGGCGCGAAACCCGGGCGCCCGGCAGAATCGCTGGCGCTCGGTGACGAGGAGACAGTCAGGCTGCAAGCGCTCCAGGTCTTGGGCAGCTTCGCAAGCGGTACGTCTTCTTGGTCTTGGTTTCGATTCTCAACTGACATTGATGCAGGCGGCACATCCTTCTTCTCTGCATTGGTGGCCTCGGGAGCCGTTCCTGCCATCCTTTCCAACATATCCCCCGAGTCAAACCCGCCGCCAGTCGTCCTCGCCGCCATCAAGACCCTCACCGGTTTTACCAATACCTGCGCCGACCCCTCGGAAACACAGGCTCTTGCTGAAGAGCTCTTCCAGCCGCCACATATCCAATCGCTGGCAGGAATCTGCACCCGTTCCAGAGAGTGGAAGACCCAGACGCTGCAGAACCCTGTCACCCTCGTGGCCACGCTCATCAGCCGACTCTGCCATGACGAGAGCCACGCACTGGCCCTGGCCGAGTCCGACCTTCTGGATCACCTCGCCACGGAGCTGGCTGCATTCGCGGTTGATGGCGGGCATGTTATCCCCGGCGCAGACATCTTGGGCAAGGTAGACGGCCGACTCCGGTACATCCCGGAACCGTCCCCGGCCGGCGCCAGTCTCGCCGCCGTGCTGGAGGCTCTTACAGCCATCGTGTCCGACTCCAAGTACCGGGCTTACAGGCTGCTCTACTCCCCTGCCATTCTAGCCGCATTCCCCGGCTTCGAATTGGCAACCTCGAGGGCACTCCTTGGTATGGGAGACCCGTCAGACGATTGGATCGAGAGCCACTTCGGCATCGGCGCCATGGACACCCTGCTGCCTGCCCCTCCACGCCAGGCGAGCAGAGGGCCCGGCAGGCGTCTGCAGCAATTGGGCTTCATGGGTGGTGGCGAGACCACACCGGCGTTCACCCGCCCGGCGCCTACCAGCAAGTTCGGCCAAGGCCTGTCAGTCATTGACGTGTCTCGTTTCGACACGCCGTGCATCGGGATCGGTGAGGAGGCTGAGGTTCAGAGGGCGCCCCTCATCTCATGGCTTATCCTTCTGGTCCGGACGCGCAACGATATTGAGCGCCTGATGGCGGCCAGCCTGCTGACGTCTCTGTTCAAGTCTGGACTGGAGATTAGACAGCTGCGAGAGCCCAGCGTGGGGCTGCTCATCGTGCCGGTGCTCGTCGACATGCTTCAGGGCTCCGACGCGGCCGCTCGAGCTCATCCTCAATCACTCGTCGACAAGCGCACACGGACCGCGTGGAAGATCCTCGAGACGACGCCCGCGGTCATTTCAAGGCTTATCACGGACAGTGAACCACTGCAGACGGTGGCCTACGACTGCGGCGCCGTGACGATTCTCGCCAAGCTGCTTAAGGAGGCCTATGAACCCGTGTCTGATTCGGCCTATCTCAAGACGTGGTCCCCGACGCCCGACACGGGTATGGACGTGGAGAGCGACTCGGCGGCCTGCCGCCTTGGCCCAAGGACATACCCTCCCCTGCTGGCACATCGCATCAAGTTGCGTGAGAGCACGCTCAAGGCCATCGGCTCACTGGCAGGGGGTAAGGAAGACTACCGCAAGGCCTTCATGGAGCAGGACATTATGCCCTACCTGGTGCAGTCGCTGTCGGTGAACCCTTGCAAGCCCTCGACACCGCGCGAGAGACCCCGGGGAGATGAGCCAGATGGGCCTGTCGTCGATGCTCTGACATCTGCGTACGGACACAACCCCCTGTCTGTCATCATCGCCGCCTGCCACGCGGTGCGGGCACACTCGCGATCCATCAGCATTCTGCGGACACACCTCGTGGACCACAACGTGGCCATTCCCGTGCTGCGGTTCCTCAAGCACCCGGATGTTGACGTGCAAGTGGCCGCATCGGCTGCCATCTGCAACCTGGTCACCGAAGTCAGCCCCACGCGCGAGGTAAGCCGCCATGCGCCGCATCACTCTGGCACAACACTGACATGGCGTACAGATACTCGCCCAACACGGTGTGATGGCTCTGCTGTGCGAACACGCTCACTCACATACGGCGGCCCTCAGACTCAACGCACTTTGGGCACTGAAACACTTTGTCACGGCGGCGTCGCCCACGGTTAAGCGGCAGTGTCTCGAGCAGCTCCAGTCCGGATGGCTGGTGCGGCTGGTGTGCGACGACACAGAGGACGAGGCTCTCTACAGGTCGAAGCAGGAGGCAGCAGGCGGGGCAGACGGCCGGGACGACCCGGACGGGGACGTCGAGATGGACCAAAACGAGCTCATGACGTCCAGCAAGTCGTGGCCCGGCGCCGCGGGGATCCCCCGGGACGCTGAAGGCAAACCGGCAGCGTGGGCGTTGCAGGCCGAGGCGCGCAAGGCGGCTTTCCGCGACGTCGAGGTGAACCCTCAACGGCGTGCTAGGAACGACGACGTTGCGATTCAGGAGCAGGGCCTCGACCTGATCCGCAACCTGATCCCCGCCAGCGGGGCCAGCTCGAGTGCAGAGCTGACGAGCGAGTCGACAGACATGATCGACTACCTCTTCCTGGAATTGGGCCAGGACCGGTTCTTCGACATATTGGCCAAGAAGCTGCAGGCCAAGGTGCTCCGGGGCGGCGCGCGACGCGGGAGCAGCACGGCGCAAGGGGGTGCTGCAGCGGGCGAAGCGCGGATCCTGTACCCGCAGGCCAAGATCGTCGAGGCAGTCATCTACATCCTGGTGCACATTGCGGCCAGCGTGCCACATCACCGGCAGCTGGTTATAGCGCAGCCAGCGCTGCTCAAGCTGCTGGGCAATCACTTCTCGAGCAGGGACAAGGAGGTGCGGGAGGCGCTGTGCCACTTGATGAGCAACCTCACGTGGCAGGACGATGACGACGATGGACAGGCATGCAGCCTGCGGGCGCGCGAGCTGAAGAAGCTCGGCATGCTGAGCAAGCTGGAGGCGCTCGAGGACGACCCGGAGCTCAACGTGCGGGAGAGGGCAAAGACGGCCATTTGGCAGATGAAGCAAGCGACCAGCCAATAGGGAAGGAAGGCGCTACTAAGGCGATATAAAAACCTCGCGGTTCGTGGGGGAGTCGAGGCTGTGAGGAGGGCGGCGTGATTTGAGGGACTCTATGCTGCGCCACAGCGGCTTGCGCCCGTTAAAGGATGTGTATCGAGATGGTAGTACACTTGAAGCCTTTCTGCACATGCTGACTTGACCAACCTGAAGCCTCATGGCTGGCCTTTGGAACATACTAGTACTGACATCGGTGATGGAATTGGTTGGTCACGGCGATAACCACGTCAGACAACTCGACTCGTCACGCCATGGGTGGTTTTTGTCTGGTCGGATGCAACGCCGGCTTTTCAAGATGTGAACTTGAATTTCCATGCAAAGGGGCCAGTCCAGGACCGACGTTTGAGTAGTGTGAGTGGGAGTGTGGTCGTCACGGGTGGCGTAGTGGCAGTGGCGTAGTGGCGCGGGTCTTTGGGAGGATGATGCCCGCATGACGGGATGTCGACAGGGGACGCTGAAGTGCCGGGCTTTAGCGCTGCTGCACTGCAACCTGGAGCAACGCAACTCCCGTCCCGTGGTGCAGCAGCCGCCCCCCGGTGAGGCTCCTTGATTCGAACGTTGCTGGCAGAGTATTCCGCCCGTTCCGTCTCGTGGATGTGTTGTGTCTGTCTGTCATGAGCCGGATGAGCCGGTTCTTTGCAAAGGTACTTGATTTGTGAGAAGCCTGGATTGAGAATTGTGTAATCACAAACGAAATAAATGTCTATTCCCTTGCTAACCATATTGTCATGGCTGTCTGTCAAAGTTACCCCCATGCAAATGAGCAGACATCTGATCTAGCGTGCGAGGTGGTCTGGACTGACTGAATATGCATGCATCGAGCAGCTAACCTGCAAACTCCAACATGACGTCTGCTTGGTGACACGAGCTTTGATACTGGCATCACATCCGTCAGCCTCTCACACCAGCCCTCGTCGAAAACTCCGGGCCCGGATGAAGAATAGGAACGCCATCGCCGATATCCATCCCAATCACCCTGGCTTCGAACAAGGATGTGACGCTCGGCATGTCATCACAAGCGGAGCCCCATTCAGCCTTGGTCGTGGATACAATTCGCGATTCTCCATCACGCGAGCCGCTGTGTGGACCGTGATCACCCCCCTTGGCAGTCTGGGCATCGGGTCAAGTCACCATGAGGTCACCCAGATCGAACCAGACCACGGGGACATGACT